AGAAAACATGTTTACTGAAGAAGGTATGTGGAAAATCTCCCCTCGTGGGTTTGCTCCGGGGTTCACGAGTTAAGTGGATCAGACAAGAGGTGTGCGTGTTGTTTTTGATCATTTTCTGCAACACTTATGGCTGTTGTGTTGACTCTAAAAACGCAGGATCTTACAGTTAAGAACAAGAACAGTCAGCCAGTCAAAAGGATTTGCTTCCACAACATTATACCTTCATATAAAATATGTTAAACTAAAAATAATAGTATTTCCTAATCTGGAGGGCTCCTTGCACTTGTCTAATACGACAGTGCTGTTGCACAGTATCCAATCCATGTTTCACTTGTAATAAAGGTCATGCCTAAGCGCACCTGCACGCCTGTACCTGCATTAGACTGGGATTTATGATCGAATGCATGGTGCCAAGTGAGCCAAACTCTCATTTCACGCTTGTTTCACAAATCAAGACTGTGAGAAAAAGAAAAAAAAAACCTCTCACACGTCACTACCTGAACCCAGAAACTGCTCGTCATCAGACTTTGTAGTATTTCTTCTCACTGTTACAGTTTTGTGTGACTTGCCTCTGCGACTTCTACATGCAGCGCTAATCAAAACAAGGAAGAATAAGCTTTGCGCAACATTAGCTTCCCTTCAAAGTCGCTCCATGCATTATTACATCTGTTCACACCAGTGCAAAAAAGCTATGAGAGAGTCAGGGCGCAACAAGTTTTACCACGTCTAACATCTTACAACAGTCAGGTATTGTCATGTCTTCCACTCCAACTTGAGCGGTCTACACTGAAGGGAACTATGACAGCAAAAATGTGTGGAAAGAAAAAAAGAGAACGTCTAACATACAGTATACAGAAAATTCTTGTAGGAATGTAAAGACAAATTGCATGAGAGGAAAACTCAGATTACCTGGAGGGATGTTTTTCACACAGCAGTATTTGCTTTGACGTGAAGATCTGAGACTTTAGTCTGGTTGACTGACACAAAAATATGCAGAAGATCACCCTCTTTTCCACCTCATGCACTCCTTAGAGCCACGCCTGAGGTGCTTGTTTATTTGATGCAAGAAGGCAAAGGTCAAAGTAAACATCTGTGAACTAACTAATGGATGAGTCTGCAACATTTGGCTGACATTGCACTGCCATCTTTAAAGGAAGACTTCAAACATCAGCCAAATATGGAGTCACTAACTAGATTTAGAGTAGTAGAAGTGCAAGACGAAAAAGCGTGAGAGCTTTGAGATAAATTTAATGTAGACGCTGCACTTTCCTAACACACCATTAACAAATCCGGCTGTCTGGACGTTTCACTTCCACTTTCAGCACCTATGCAGAGACTGGGCGGAAAGGAAATAGCGTGTACTTCCGTGCTTTGGTTCTGTGGTCGTACAGATGCAAAGACCTACTCTGCAGCTCACCATCTTTAAGTTAAGTAGATCCAAGGAGCATCTGAAGGAAAGAAAACCCTCTAATAAAGCACGCAGTAAAATAAACTACCCAACAGCATCATTACAAGGTGGATCCCAGCTTCAGGAATTAACCAATAACAGAATAATAGCTGACAACATGTGAATCCAGGACTTTTTCTTGTAAAAGAGTGTTTTTATATTGTGGTAATCCTACTTGTACTCAAGAAAATGCAAACCTAAGCTGCTGCCACATGAGTCAGACTTTGAAAACTGGCAAGATCTTTTTTAAAAAAGCACTGATCAGAATAAAAAAACCCATCAAAGACAAACCAGCTCTGCACATGTCCCAGCTGCCAGTGTGTGCATTTCCTTTAATGCAGCTTTAATGATGCATCATTGGCTGCCTGTAAGTGAGCAGTCTTAATCCAAGCCATACGGCAAATTTAAAACCGGGTTCATAATCTAAGCCTGGGACCAGACACAGCTGATAGCCCGGATTTAGGGACATGTTACGGGTCAAGCATGTAACATTCAATGCCTCTGGCCAAATAAAGGAAAAAAATCTAGCTAGCAGTGCAGCCTGACGCCTCCTTTGAGAAACCAGTCGTTGTTCTGAAAAGGGGAAGTTAACGGTACATCGAAGACATGTTAACACAACCACCAATACCGCTACTTGAATTTTTTACAGTAAGTTAACGACACCCGGGCTTGAAATCACCGTTTGCGATTCATTATTTTCGCCTCCGAGGAGCAAAATTTAAACACTCAAAACAAGCTTCGGTGAATGGCAACCGGTGGATAGTAAAGGCGGCAGGTCGAGGAGCCCGAAAAAGAAGCGATAAAGTAGTAATTTTCTCTTTTTTTTTCTTTCTTTTTTTTTTTTTTACCTTGATGCTCGTAGAGAAATACGGGAGTCGATGTGTGGATACCACGCTAGAAGCAGCGGTCCGGGCTGAAAGGAGAAGAAAAGCGATTTGCTGCCGCTGTTGTTTCCGGGTTGGCTCTCCAGCGTCACTGCGGCCGTCAGACCAGGGGGGAGTTCGGTTTGTGTCACCTCTTCAGCGCGGAGGAGGGGCAGGGGGAGGGGGGGGCACTGACACACCTTCACTCTCTAACCGCCAATGGAGCCGCCCGGTCAGCCGGCACCAGCTGCTTACTTTCAACGGCTACTTCAAGCGGATTACTACTGAATTAGATTATAAATATGTCTAACGGCTGCTTTTATTAGCACTTTAAAGCGTTGAAAGTCGTTCAGGTACACCTTCAAAGAACCACATGACGGAGGTTTATTAACTCTACCCAAGTGCCATTGAGCAAGAAGCCAGCATAGAGCCTCCAGGGGGCGCTGTCGTGTTATTTGACCTCAGAATCAGTTTCTACTCAGTGCAAATTGGCCTAATTTGGTATTTCCTGAGTGTGGATTCACTGAATTTATCAGGAATTCGTGCTCTTAATTATTTTGACAATTTAAAATTTTAAGTGGGGTGTTAAATACCACAAAATTAGATTTTAAAGGTCCCACATAGTGTAATTTTTCAGCAAGTCTCACATGTTCTCACAGTCCATCTTTCCGATTTTCAGCTTAAAATATTGCAAACATGGTTAATTTCACTCATATGGACTGTTTTTAGGGATGTTTTAGGCCACGTTTACATATAGCGGGGTAGGTCGTTAAGAGCTACTATGAGCATGCCAAACCTATAGGGGGCAGTGTAACGAGGAAGCATAAAGCCTTGCTAGCCAATCAGAATCCTGAAAAAAAACACAACAACAAATGGCACAAATTATTTCCTGTTACTTCAACGAAAATGGCACAGAGAAGTGGAGCTACTCCTAAATGTGGTGTTAGAGTACAAAACAAGTAAAATACTTGAAACTATTGACTTTCTATCACAGTAGCCCATCGGTCACACACATATGACACTAATGATGCTTTTGTCGCATACTGTGACATCAATCTCCATCTCCACCTGTCTGCATGCAAACGTAAAGATGGAGTTTTTCCAAATCGCCACTGTGGCCGGAGTTTTCAGTATGATCGTTTTCGGTAACTTGTAGCTTTGTTTACGTGTAAACCAAAGGCCCAAACACATTAACATATCACAGTTTTTGCTACGTGTAAACAGGGCCTTAAACAGACAGTTTTGCTCAGAAAACCACTGAGCTGCTGCTGATCCTGCCCCCTTTAGGAAGAAAACCCTCTGCAAGTTGCAGCCTGTGTAATGACAAGTAAAGTCTCTGTATCTTATCAGCTTTTATTTTACATCTCCAGGGTTGTAACAACCACAAAACACAACAAAAATGGATTATGGGACCACACATTAACAGCACCAGGATCCCATTATCAATAAGGATAGCCAGTGGTGTTGTTAGGCCTGTTCATCCGAGGCTATAGCCACAAATGTTTTATGAATTGTGAATTATTTGTTTAAAAAAGTAAGCATGCTAAAAAATAGTCCTGGAATTTTTTTTAAATTCTATTTTACTGATCATGTGCTAAAGCCCTCAAAAATGTATATGTTTGATTCTGACAAATCTCTCAAGGTTCTCTGGCTTCCTCCCACAGTCCAGAAACATGTTGAGGTTAATTGGTGATTCTAAATTGTCCGTAGGTGTGAATGTGAGTGTGGTTGGTTGTCTGTCTTGGTGTCCCCTGCCTTCGCCCTGAGTCAGCTGGGATAGACTCCAGCCCCCCTGCGACCCTAGTGAGGATTAAGTGGCATATAGATAATGGATGGATATTTTGACAAAAACATTGCAGTTCTCTTATATGTTCAAAAAAGCCAGATCTGTTTTCTAAAGTCAAAATATTTTTCTCGTTGTTTTTTGTTTTCAGTGGTAAATAACAATGATGTTCATTATGTAAACTGTGAATGCAAATACTGTGAATTAAAGAGATGATTGTACACCTACACAGCGACAAGAGAGATGCAAATTTATTGCAATTTATTTTATTTATTTTGGGTGTCAACCCGACTGACCGTACAGCCTTCATCATGAGTGATCGCAGGACTTCTCTTCTTTCAGCCTTTTCTCTTCCTGTTTTATCGTCTCTGATTCAAAGTTCCCCAATTAAAGTCTGTAATATTAAAAAATTTGTCTGTTGTCTGTTTTCCCTTTCATGCTTTGTGACTGTTTTGTTTGATAAATAGGGAGAGGCTACTTATTAAAGCTGGTTCAAAGGCTTCCATCACCGCACGACACACCTGGTTGTAATTTGAGATCATTAGAGTGATCTGTGGCTGAAGGCCTGAGCAGAGTTTAGCTGCTGGTCACTGATCAAAGATAAAGCTGCAGCATTTGTCCCACTTCTTACCTCTCAATGTGGTTTGCAATAAAAACCTAAAATAAAATGTGTGGAATTCCCAGAACTCTCAACTTCTCTTCTGGTTTCCTTTGCGGTTTAACTCCTCATCGACTGACACCAATTAAGGTTGATTAAGCAGGACACCTGTCTTCACTTATGAGTGGCAGGAGCCTATAAAGGTGTTCTAAAGAGGCTGGTCAGATCTATTAGATAGAAGAATCTACAAGTGTGAACGTGTGATTTTGTGCAGTTCTTTCGTTTGGTCAGAAAAATCCACCTCGAGCCATGGGAAAGGAGAAGACTCACGTGAACGTGGTGATCATCGGCCACGTTGACAGCGGCAAGTCCACCACCACTGGACACCTGGTCTACAAATGTGGAGGCATCGATCAGAGAAGGCTGGAGAAGTTTGAGAAAGCTGCAGCTCAAGTGAGGAAGAAATGCACTCTGTAAAGATTTTTTTTTTAATTTAAAAAAGCAAATTTAAACGTTAAACTGTAATGAAACTTGTTTTACAGATGGGGAAGAGTTCCTTCAAGTTTGCCTGGGTGCTGGACAAGCTGAAAGCCGAACGTGAGCGAGGGATCACCATCGACATTTCCCTGCTGAAATTTAACACCCAGAAATACACCATGACCATAATTGATGCACCAGGTCACCGTGACTTCATTAAAAACATGATAACCGGGACATCACAGGTAAAGAGACACACAAGTTTGGCCTTTTCTGTATGAATAAGTTGCTTTAATGTTTAAAGAAAGGTTGTCTTTGCAGGCCGATGTTGCCCTGTTGGTGGTCTCTGCGGCTAAAGGAGAGTTCGAGGCCGGTGTTTCTAGAAGCGGTCAGACCAGAGAGCACGCCCTGCTGGCTTACACTCTGGGCGTGAAGCAAATTATAGTCTGCGTGAACAAGATGGACCTGACTGAGCCGCCTTACAGCCAGAAACGCTTTGAAGAAGTGGTGCGAGCAGTGAGCGGCTTCCTCAGGAAGATCGGCTACGACCCCACGGCTGTACCGTTTGTTCCCATTTCTGGCTGGACTGGCGAGAACATGATCACTACAACCCAGAAGGTAAATGTCTGAGGCTTTAAACTGCCACAAGTTGCCTTGTGTTAAATAACGACTGTGCGTGTAGATGCCATGGTTCCAAGGTTGGAAAGTCAGACGAAGGGAAGGGACCGCATGTGGGAAAACTCTGCTGGAAGTCCTGGACTCCATTCACCCGCCTGTACGCACAATCAACAAGCCGCTACGATTACCTCTGCAGGATGTGTACAAGATTGGAGGTCAGGCATGTTCCAGTAGTTGACTTTAACCAGTTTTCCTGATTTATAGGTCTAAATTAATCAGCTCCAATTGATTAAATGAGCTCCAGGTGTGCAGCACAACAATGTCTGTAGGATGAAACGCTACTAAATGTTTTCTCTTCTCAGGAGTTGGTACTGTGCCAGTGGGTAAAATCGAAACCGGCGTCCTCAAACCTGGCATGACCCTGATGTTCTCCCCCGCCAAGCTCACGGCAGAGGTCAAGTCCATCGAGATGCACCACCAGGGCCTGCAGACGGCTCTTCCGGGGCACAACGTCGGCTTCAACATCAAGAACGTGGCCGTGAAGAACCTGCGGCGGGGAGATGTGGCCGGCAATGCCCAGCAGGATCCTCCCTCAGACGTCAGCAGCTTTGAGGCTCAGGTTGGTTGAATGCGTTGAGAATATACAACTTAAAAACCCTGTTTGTTTCCCTGATGTGACGTTTCTGTCTTCAGGTGATCGTCCTCAACCATCCAGGGAAGATCAAGTCGGGATACTCCCCCGTCCTGGACTGCCACACTGCCCACGTCACCTGCCGCTTTGCTGAGCTGAAGGAGAAGCTGGACCGCCGGACGGGCAAGAAACTGGAGGACAACCCGCAGATCCTGATGTCTGGAGACGCTGCTACAGTCAAACTGGTTCCCATCAAGCCCATGTGTGTGGAGAGCTTCTTCACATACCCTCCTTTAGGTACAGTATCTAGTCTAAATGTCAGCTTTCCAATGTTGACTTGTACTTTCTCATCTAACTTCACTCTTGTTGTCAACAGGTCGCTTTGCAGCAAGAGACCTGAAGCAGACGGTGGCTGTCGGGGTCATCAAGTCGGTGGTTAAAGACCAAACACCGAAACCTCCGCAAAAAGCCCCAGTGTGTAAATAAGTTTTTCTCTTACCAGTATTCTGGTAAAACTTCTTCATGTAAACAGTTTTATTTAGTTAGATGTAGTTTTTGTGTTGTGACACAAAGAATTTATGTTTTCAAAGTTTATAGTATCCCTGTGTTAATATTAAATCCAAAATAAGCTGGAGTTGGACAATGTGTTTTGGTTAAAATGCAAAATAAAGTGATTTGGAGAAGAATTTTCTTGATCTGTCTTTAATGTTAAAGTGCAGTTGATGTAGAAAACAGTTAAATGCTCTGAATGTGTGTCTAGAAGTTACACCACTGCAAGATAAAGAATTAGAAACTAAAGTCTTCAGTCTTGAACATGGTTTCCTCTTAGAGAAATGGTTTGACAAGAATCTATTTGTTTTGTGGCCGAGTTAAAAGGGGAGATGAACACTGCTAAAAGAACTGAAGAGTTTTATTTTAAAGCACAAATAATCTTAAGCACACCATGCAAAGTTGTTAAACTAGTTTCCACATAATGGTCTTGGCTGATTAATGTTTTACTTGTACCAGGTCTTTTCACAAAGAAATACTGGTTAAAATCTAAGTGTTTTCCTTTAAGGGCAAGAGTTTGTTTTTGTTTAATTCTGTAGTGGTTAGATTTTTATGCTAATTTCAAGACAACTTGAGCTGTTTTTGGTTTCCCACTGGCAGTTTATGAAATGATCAAATTCCACTTTAACTGCATTTCTAAAGTTTGCAGCATATTTTACCCAGAAGCAACATCTATTAAACTTAAATCAGTTTCTAGTCTTCATTTGCATTTAAATTAAGACAAGTCAGCTATTCATGGCATTTTCTTTTAGCTTGTAATGTCACATCCTCTCCTAAATCAAAATCCTTTTATCAAAAGGAGAAAATTTAGGCTAGTTTTAAGAATGTATTTTCTTGCTTTACTGGCAGATTGTTAATATATTTTGGTGTGTATAATATAAATGAAAATATTGTCAAAATTGTTATTGTATTGTTCAAACACTTCAACTATTGTGTGCACTTTGTCATTTTATAAGTTGCATATTTATATGTAAAATCTGTATGACTGTTTGGTTAATGTACACAGATTTAAATGCAAGGCTTTTTTTTTTATAGAAAAAAGTATTAAGACGAGACGTATGTTGCACTAGATTTCATTAGTTGCCCCCCCCCTCTCCAAAAAACCCTCAAATCCCATTTTACTAACCACACCGATATATTTTTGTTTAAAGTCAGCAAATTTCAGTGGTGAATAGAACATTTGGTGTTTATTATATCTTATGTGGACTGAATGAAACTGTTTTGCAAGTTATTTTCAAGGTTTTCAGGTTTGAAGGTGTTGATTCCTAAACTGAGCTTGAACATATTAAAAATGATCCCAAATTTTAATGCTTGTTAAATTTGAGTTAACTTTTATTATTAGTGGAGTAAAAGTTTAATATTGTCCTCTAAAATGTGGTGCAATTTAAGAATAAAGTAGAATAAAAATGAAAATACACCTCTAAAGTGAGTCAGCATAGTACTAGTTTAGTGCACTACGGGTTAGTTACAGGTACTAATTGAACAGATTGGAGCTATTTCTCAAAGTCTGCTATTTATCTTGAGCCGAGCAGTAACTTCATAAGCTGCTTAGACGTGAACTTTCCCTCCTGTTTGTGAAAATTCCAACGGGAGGCTCAAACAGATCTCCACACCACATGGTCGGTAAGTTAAAAAAAAAAGCAGGCTCGGGGTTTAAGTACAGCACTTTTAATGATACAATGGGTTGATGGGTTTGTTCCTTAACATGGGAAGAACTGCAAGTCAGTGAGGACCAGGTGAAAATACATCGGCTCTCCGGCCTTTTACAAAGTCCACCCTTCATCTAAAAGACATCTCTGGTTCACAGGCAGAAAACCTGGAAATGCACTGAATCCAGTAACATGGAATGATATTACATGACTCAAACTAAAAAAAAACAAAAACAAAAAAAACAAAATTCAAGCTCATGAGGTTTTACAAGACACTGAATTGTGAACACAGGTTGTTGTGAAACTTCTAGCCTGTCAGAAAATCAAGTTATTGCTAAGATGTCCTCTTTAGTTTCCCGTACTTGTCATCAATAGTGGCTTTAACAACAGGATACCTTTTGCGTAGTCCTGCTTAAATTTTAATAGTGGCTCTTCAAACCCTGAGGTGAGCGTCTTTGAACGCAGCACTCCACTCATTTCCAGTCATTGTTACACCATGCACAGAGAAGGTCAAAGGACTGTGGAGATGGCGTCGAGTTCACACACACGGAGCAAACATACAGTGAACAGTGTAACAAGGAGTAAATTAGTGACCTACAGTGAACCACAGGCTTTGATATTCCACCACACAGTAGCAGCAGGTTTCTATACTGTAAAACAACCATAATACGTGTACACACAAAGCAAGCAAGAACAAGGAGTACATTTAATGAAATTCTTTTCACCTCGGGGAAGATCAGTGGGAGACTCCAGCCTCTTCAGTCAATTATGGTGGCAAACAGGGATGCAAGACACAAAGAATGACATGACCTATTTCACATTCCATTTCATATTTGTCCTTTTTCCAGAAATATAAGCTGATAATTACTTGAGGGCCAGTAAAATGAATACAGATAAAATTCAAACTCTACCACCCTGATGCTTAATCTGACAGGCAGAGAGCAATGGTACATGTTTTGTACAATAAAACATGTATATACACTCACACACAAATATATATATTTACATACATATATACACAGGAACAGCATAAACATAGACTTTTAGGTAAGTGCTAGGGTTTTGAGAGTGGCTTCATCACAGCCGTGCTATAGGGTTAAGATAATACTGGTAGAGGAAGAATACACACATTCTTTGTACAGCATGGATGAAGCATCCATGGCTAGATGAGCCTTCTTGGGTTTCTTCTTTGTTGTTGTTGTTTTTTTGTTTTTTTTCTCTTTAGGACGCTTGTCTTGTGACAAGGGGTGTTATAATAGCTATTTACAGGACCTCCCAAGTTAGGGAGAGGCGTAGTGCAAGTCTTTCTGGCTGTCAGTCACTCAGGATGTGCACAAAAGACATGGGGAACACCCCTTTTCTTTCCGGATCTCCTTCAATGTGCCCGATCTGGAGGTAAAAAAGGGGAAAGAAAAGCGTGTGAGAAAAAGGGTATTGTGTGTTTTTTGTGTATTTTCGTGGTGCTTGAGTAAACTGTCAGAGGTCCGACAGCTGCTGGAGATGTTTCAGCTGGACTCACCCACCACTCCTGGTCCTCTTCCCCTGTAACTATGATCACCTCTCCTTCAACAAATGTCAGCTCGTCGTCGTTGTCAGCCTGGCAGTCGTAGATCGTCTTCACCCGACGCGCTTTGTTCTTCCCCTGGATGCACAGAAACAGCAAGACTATTAGATTTTATACTAATACAAAAACATCTCCCAGATATCTGGTAATTGTTTTTAGTTGGCTCTGAGTTAGAAAATATGAGAAATAAGAGAAGAAGAGAAATCAACATGAAGTAAAATCCATTATGCAAAAAGACACATTTGGTAAAATACTTTTTGGTGCTTGAGGAGCTGCTGACAGAATCCAGCAAGTTAATAAGTAGTTAAACAAACCTTAGTTTAGAACTTAGAACTGAACATTTAATAGCTGATAAGCAACATAAATCGCTAGATGACATATTGCCATTGCATATTACATTTATACAAAGACATCTATTCAAAGTCGTGTCTGATACATTGGTTTCACCTTATTTGTCAGAAAGAAGCAACACAAAATAGCAGGACAGAAAAAAAGCTTTTAAACACTGAATAATATTGGCCTTAAAAATCTGCATCTGCCAGGTGTTACTTTTATTGTAGTTTGATAAAATGACCCTTGAAAGAAACTGACATGCTTCTAAAAATTACATCGATACAACAAAACTTCCAACTAAAAAACACAAGTGTATTTACTAAACTCCCTGAACTCCAAGTAACTCATCGGGGCAGCTTTAGCTCCTTCACATTTATAGTCACTGTGGGCTCATTTTTCACTGCAAAAGAAAGTCCTGCACCTCCACAGAAACAACACAACCATGGCTAGAAATAAGAGAAGTCAATACTGATTTTTGTGCAGTACAGCAAAGTTATAATGTAGTGAATTTAAAAACAAAAGAAAGTTAAATTTCTTTTTAATTTGTAGTTGCTTTTTTTTATAAAATTTGAAAAGCCTGGAATCAACATGGACAACATTTTCCCAAGTACCTGCAGGTGTTACCACTGGGATAGCTGTGAATACTCCAAATACTTAGATTCTTACATGTTTAATTTGTTTTCATCTCCTCTCTGCTCTGTGTAAATACAAACTGCAGTTCAGCCAAATAGTCTCTGAATTTTTGTCACTAAACGGTTGGTTGTAGCTGAGTCACTAATGGCTTTGTGGTCAGTCAAGGAGTGCAGAATTGTTCTTTTTTTTTTTTTTACAGAATCTGGTTAGCGCGAACAGTTTATTTTTGTTGACTGTCTAATTCACGGTGGCTACAGCTGAGGTGGCAGAGTGGGTTCTCCACGAATTGCAAGGTTACCGGCACAACCCCCTGCCCCTCTACATGTAGAAGAGTCCTTGGGAAACACACTAAATGAAAAGTTTCTCCCAATGGCAGGCGAGCACTTTGCATGGCAGCTCTGTCGACACTGGTGTGTGAATGGTTGGCTTTGAGTACCACTAAGGGAGAAGGCGTGATACCAGTGCAGACAATTTAAATGAGACAGATTTTTAAGCTTATATTTAGTTCAGTTTCCATTTTCAAACAGTAAGTCACAGATGAGTAACTCAAGGACCATCAGACAGTTAATCATCCAGTAATGTTTACATTCTCTGGCTCTGACTGCGGCAGTCAGTTTGGGGAATTTTGTAAAAACAACAGGGCTTTCAAACCGACCAATGGGTTGTTGGGTTCTGAGTTAACTGGCAAACAATAGAGATAGCAGTCCAGAAGAAGTTTAGAATTCTATATTATATTATTGTTCATATATTTGCAGAGA